TAGATGCTGATCTTGGTAGTTTTAACGGACGTGCTAAGCTGAAGGCACACATTTAAGCATCCACGCCATTAACCACGTTGTCGTGTTACGTTGCGTTACTCGTTTACGATACTCTTGCCAGACAGTCGGAAAGCAGTGGTTTAGGCACGGTTTATCAATTATACCATTTCAACTGGCTACTTTACTGTGTTCTTTCTTGATCTTGTATGATGAACCTTTTCATCTGTCAAGTTCGTGTATCATCGATTCCTAAAGAATGAATTATCACTTTCATTTGAGGACTATTGATAAAACTCCACTAAATCTGAAATAAATGTGATGTGTACAAATCTTGTCAAATTGATCTTGGTGACTAGCAGAGGAATCCAAGATATGCGTTTCGTCCTATTCCGGACTTGTCAGCTGGATGTAGCTGCACCCCAGTAAGCGACGTTGTCTCCTCTGGGGCTCGAACCCAGTACCCATCGCTTCGAACGCTACAGCCACTAGGGCACGATAGCCACCTCTTGTGCAACCGGCATCTGTTGTTGTTAAGATACTGGCGTCTGAAGCGAGCCCCAGTGGGAATGACATCACTCTATGAGAGGCAACTGACGAATCCCAAATAAGACGAAATCCGCATCCTGGATTCCAATGTTAGCCACTATCCACCATTACTATGTTCACAATAATTAAAATTTTAATCCTACTAATTTTACCGGAAATACTAATAAAAACCTAAAATTCTGATCATTGTATGTAAGCATTTATTGTTAAGAAATCGATTCATCCCACAATGTACAAACTATTTATGGATTGAATAAGTACTTGTATGCAGCAGTCGCAAATTCTTCATTCATCTTTCCTTTCGTGAAAGTTGTAACAACATTATAAGAAAGTGATCACATATGTGAATGACATGACAGACAAATGAGATAAGCACATAAATTGTTAATGTTAGATAACTGACTTACTATGAAGTGTTCACTGAAGGTAAATAATATGCCCGAGAAAAATTTCTCTGAAACCCAGTTGCACGTCTATATGACTGCAATATTTCAAGGTTGATAATCGGTGAATATCGAACCACAGAAACAAGATTAAAGCGCAGAAGTGATTTCAACTTTCATAATTGAATAAATATATCTATGTACTGGTATAGGAGTAAGACAAGGCTGCCACCTACTATCACCGATAATCTTCCTGGTTCTGCTCAACTGGACTCGACTGCATCATGCAACAAACAGTGAGGAGCGAGAAGAGGGGGATACGCTGGACTGCAGAAAAGATCCTAGAAGACTTGGATTTCCCCAGTGATGACTTGTGTCTAATATCGCACAAACTCGGAGATCTACAGGCAAAAACTAACAACTTAACAGAAGAGACAAAACAGGGAAGATCGAACTTCCTTCAAGTGAACCTAGAGAAGATACAGGTGATGAAGATACCCAACCAACAACAAGCTCTAATCACCATCAACGGGAGAAACCTAAAGGAAGTAGTCTCTTTCACCTATCCACCTACCTGGGCAACATCGTCTCAACTATAGGCGGAACAGATGAAGATGTCAAAGCCAGCCAGCCAGCATCGGAAAGACAGCGAGATAGGCCTTCCTTCATTAACCTGAAACCAGTGTGGAGATCTACTGCACTCCACTCAGCACAAAGCGTGAACAACAACATCCGGATTTTCAACACCAATGTCAGTCAAGTCAGTGTTGCTATATGGTTCAGAAACTTGGTCTGTCACGAAAAGCATTTCCAACAAACTACAGACATCTATTAACAGCTCTGCCGCCTACGCTCACTCCATACTGAAGATGCGGTCAGATGAGAAGGCGAGAAAGAATAAGGAACAAGGAACTCTGGCTGGCTGGCAACGAACCAACAGAGAACCCATCGCCCAACAAATATGCACTGGAAGAAAGTGGAGATGGATTGCATTGGGCATACACTGAGAAAACCGATTGGAAACACCATACCCCAGGCACTTGAGTGGAATCGAAATGGGAAACGACGAGTTAGGCGTCCGAGGTGAGGGTGACATGGAGGAGATGGTGTGAGGAAGAAATGAAAGCTTGTGGGCAGTCGTGGAGCCAGGTTGAGTGGACTGGAGAGAAGAGAGTGGAATGGAGACGTGCTACTGAAGCCTTATGTTCCACTAGGAACCCCAGGGAAAAATAATAATAATGTACTGGTATATCATAGCATCATCTTATTTGCTTCAGATGTCATTAAAGCTTACTAATCAGAATTCGACACAAACAATTAATCAGTTCAAGTTGAGACTATGATAAATCCATGCAAATACTAAGTAAATCGGTTTATGATATGTTCGATGAGACAAGATAGAATCAACGTAGAACCTTGCACAAAACTGCATCGGTTGTCACACTTCAAACTAACATGCAAGCAATAAGTGGATACATTGAGACTGACATTAAAGTAGACAAAAGTGTACAGGAAGAGAAGGAATTTAAAAGTCAAGGTTAGCCAAAATATTCAACCTTTCGAAGACGTCAAACAGTAAGTATGTCTGCATCATTGTGACCGACTACCAGCCAAGTCACCAAGAGTCTCCAAACGCTAATTTTTATCATCCTGGGTACCCCAACCAGGTAGTCTACACTGGTCAGAACCGACAGCCAGAGGCTTCATGCAACATCTTGTTCTAGCCATGACGAGCCTTTTTCCAAACTAATTCAACTTCCGATAACATTGCATTTCAGTCATTCCACTGCCCTTCTAAAGTAATGAAATCCTATTGTTAATATTATTATTATTATTATTGTTACTAGAACACCAACGTGGTACAGCAAGGGCACCAAGAAATGCGCCACATAAAAAATATAACAACATTGTGAAGACATAAAGTGAAGGGAAGTGGATAAGTCAAAAAGAAAAACACAATAAGAATATAAATGAAATATATTTTGTAAAATCCCAATGGAATCAGATCAAATTTTGATCCTGAAGTTTACAAAACAATAAGAATAGAATGATTAGAATGGCAGTTCAGTAAGATAGATTCGAAACGAAACATTCATTAATTTTCAGCAGCAGAAGATAGAAGCAAGCTATAGCATGATCCCCACTGTTTTTGATTTGCAGCCGTATCTGATAACGTCTCAAGCTACTGAGTTGCATGATCTCCCCAACAACATCTATGGAGTCATGACGCACCAACACATGCTAACCCGATGCAACTATCCTTCATCCCACGGTGCCAAATCATACACTGACCACACCGCCGCTTCTGCCATCCAGTCCTAGGGCTAGCAAACAGTGAATGGTATAGAAGCCGTTAGGATGACATGCATGACGGATGTACAAACCCTCGAAGCCGGTATTTCAAGATGACTTCACCCAGTGAATGACGTTCTCCATGACGCCCAAACACACGCTGTCGTATCTCAGAATTACTTACATAGTGTTGACGCCGTATACGAGCAATCCTACGGAGAAAACGATGATCGAACACGCAGAGTCGTCGCATGTCCTCAGCTCGGAAGTCAGGTTTTTTAGGCGTAGAGCAGAAGTGCTCGCATTGAAGCGTTGTAAACCCGACCGTTGACGATCAGACTAACGTCGCGACTTCGCCAAAGGTGACTCAGATTAACGTAGGCTACTCTGGATTTGATATGCTGTTGGAAATTTCACCACTCATACCTTCATCAGAACTTACACAACTACCCAGATACAAGAACTTTTCGACTGCTTTTAACGGCTCACCGTGGAGGGTGAGCTCAGGCACAAGATCATTTCAATCTTGCAAGAGTATTTTGCACTTTAATGGTGCAGAGCATATACTATACTTACGAACACTTGTACTTAGCAGCACCTCATCAGTGGGTCTTCACATCTTACACTAAAAGTAGGCTATTTTCATACTGATGATGATGTGACAGAATCTTTGTAATACATATAAACTATTAAATATTTCTTCGGACATCGATTAACTGTAATTCAATTTATTAGTACTCATTACAAGCTGACATTCCGACAAACCACTAAGTGAATAAAGCAATCGAAGGAAAACAACACGGTCAGGGAAACGATTCTGCACGACAGCTGATTTTCCTACTAGTTTACTGTATTATTCATGATATTGTAGTGCACCGTCCTGGCACCAAAATCCAACTAGGGCTAAAATAAATAGATTAAATCTAATTAACTAAATAAACCTTTAGCTTATCTCCGGATCTATAAGGTGTTTTAAGCTTTGTTTTAACGAGCAGGCTTCGACTGATTAACACATACATCCTCAGAGTCTCGAGTTCAGTCATACTAGCCAGATAAGTTGAATTAACTTTTCCCCTATTCATTACTATTACATTTATTCTAATTAAATATACTGCTTCTTTGAATACATTCCTGAATACGCGTCTTTTTGGTTTGTGTTTTGTTATCAGTACTTACACGTTAGGTAAGGTACTAATTAAGCAGGTAATAGAGCACATCAAGTTAAACAGGGTTGATCAAACGTTGTGTAATAGTAAAACAACTAGTACTCCTACAATATTATGAATAGTATGTGTTAAAAATCCATTAAGCAATATAGATAGGACATAAAGTTAGTATATTTACGCAGTTCCTAATATTTATACAGTATTAATCACATTACTATGTATAATATAAAGTGAGCCAGTCAGATGAATGTGATGCCTTAAAATCTCAAAAAGATAAAAAATTATTTCCTTTCTAACATACACTTTGTGCTCTATACAATGTTTAAAAGTTAGTTGACACATAAAAAGAAACTAACAAAACAGTCCTATAAGTTTAGCTTGAATACTTAAACATTTTTCTTGTTATTGTGGAAGTAAGTAAGCATCATTACCTAATACACGTGTACATTAGTTCTTTTAATTCTCCTAGAGTTCAAAAACTAAGCGTATATGAATTATAACCAAGTTCTATTTGAGAATGAGACAAGAATGGATATAATAACACAGAACGAAAAAAAAAAAAAGATTACTGATGAATATAGTAGAAGTTCTCAACTGATTCAAATGGATCATTTTAGGAATTATCGACAGTTTGTTGTGAATTGCGTAAAACAGATCTATTTTGTAACTGTTCAAATGGTGTAATAGACATTTTATTCAATGTACTATCACAATCATGATGAAGGAATGGATGAGATAAAGGAAGAGTTGAAAGATAAAATACAACTGGTAGAAATCCTAGTAATAAACACCAATTGTATGTTGAAAAAAAAGATAATAATGCATATATAATGCATGATATATTTATGCATATATGTAGTAAATAATTTCCTGGATGATGGACAATATCTTTTAACAGAATATATGGACTATAGATAGGTCGAATTACAGCATCTGAATAATGAATTGAATAATCGAAAATTAAAGGAAATTTATACAATGAATCAAATAAACTAAGAAAAATTAAAAATATGGAAAAACATAGTATAATATCCCTCCAAAAGCAAGAGTGAAAATACAAATCACTGGGTAAGCGTATAGAGCTAAGTAAAGATATTTAAACCATTTATAATCATTAAATATTACAATAAACAATAGTGGATAAACTATAAGACATATGAAAGCACTAATAAAATAATAGACTACAGGCATTGATGTTAATGGGAAGTTAACTTCATAAGAACATCCAGAAGCTGCTAAGAAAGGTGCATAGAAATCGTCTATTCTTTCTACAGGACAATGATATAAAGAAAGTGAACCAAAGGGAGGGAATAAAATTATTGTCATTAAACTTGTGCATATATGAACGGAGATACAAACGAAAGAGAAAATCCAAGACTTTTGATCAAGTCCTACTGAATTTGAATATATATCATGTATATTTGCTTGAATTTCACTAACAGTTTTTTCTTGCCTTTTGATAAATATTTTTGACGATTTAGCTATTGTTGGCAATGTAGACAACAGAAATAATACAGGTAGAATAGCTAAAAATCCAAGATATAACCAATCATGAAATGACAATGAAGTTAGGCAAACTTCACAAAAACCATATTGTTTACTAGGCCTTGATAATACTCTTGACCCCCAAAAACATGCAGTACATGAACTAATGTTTGATATACGACCACAGTATTTCCCTGCACATTGTGAAAACAATCTTAGGCTATTGTTAGTGTCATCTGAATTCATTAGCATTCAATTTACTTACACCTGTTAGAAAGAAAAAAAGAATAAACGTATTCTAAAAGATGACCGAAACAATGTGTTCATGTTCAATTCAAAAGAATATGTAACTGAGCTTTTAACTTTTTGCAATGATCTCAGGTGATTACTTCAAACGTTAATATAACTGTGAATTACAAAGATAAAGTCAAGTTGTTTAGTCCCGACGGAAGTTTCAACTGATTCTGAACAGAGGACGAGTATACTACGCTGCATTTCCTTCTATCCTGTTTGTACGGCTGCAAGACAAGTGTCTTTTCAACACTGTTCGGCTTTGATGGAATCATTGTGTGAGCGATATCGAGGACGGGCGAGTGATATTAGGCAATATAAGCAAGTAGACTGATACGTCTGTGAACCTTAGTTGACTGGGATTGCTTGGACATATACTGCGCATGCCGAGCCACCCACCGCCTACCTCGAAGTCCTATGCTAGCGAGTTTGATTAGGTTGGAAGAGGATTCAGGGTGGCCAGACCAAGACCTGGCACCAGACGATTAAGTCTCTTAATGTTGGTCTGAGTCATGTAGGGAGATATAGACTGATTGGTTGTGGTCTCGAAAGCGAAAGGAATCACGAGATGAGAACACTTGGTGAGATGGCTGAAAACCTGTGACAATAGCGCAGGTGTATTCACTCTTTGACATCTAAAGCTTGAATATCCACACTAACCGTTATCTTCAGATTGTTTATTCTCTAACACAACTCTATCTACTTCGACATAACTCCTTTTATAACCATCTGTTCTTCTTGTACTGCCGTGAAGTGTAGCAACTTGAGTCGATGCCCTCTTGTGCGAGGTTCTGAGCTGATTTTGTCCGCCGGTGTCACACCTTTTCGCATACATTTACAAGAGTGTTACAAGTGGAAAAACGGCACCTGTTTTTATATGACGGAAAAAACAAAATTACGGTCAATCTAATTTTTGAGTATGCATGAAAGATACTTCAAAAGATCTTTTTCAAGTATATAAAAAGAATCTGAATTTAAGGGCAAATATTCCAGTATATGGTAAAATAGGAGTCACGTGAATGTAGACTATTCTTCCAGGTTAATTCTCGCGAGGTTCTACAGTTATAAAATAGAATTCTTTATCAAAAACTAATATTTGATTATCTCCCTGAAGAAGCTACGACCAGACTTCCATGTGAAGCGTTAGAATTATTAAACGTTCGCTTGACCATAGAACCCGTCGTTCAGCAGTTTGAAATTCTCAGTAACTTTATTTTAGCTCGTTTGATCCACAGCTTATTAACTAACTCAATCCCAATCCTCCGTCTACGAAACCGTCAAAGTTGGAGCCTATATGGTCCAGGCTCACCATAATAACCTAGCGAAATGGTTAGGTAGGAACAACTCCCCGGTCAATAATCGTTCTTTCCCCGCTATAGCTAAGTTAGCAAATAGTAGTTACCTACTAGAAAGCCATATTGTTCCTCTACTAATAGACCAATATTTTCACATAATTCGGTAGAACTTAACTTTAATGATAGCCAATCACGTTCAAGTATACATCAACTAATCAGAACCAAGAATATGAAGGACATAATCATTAAGAAAAACGGTACTTTATTTAGAATTTGTAAATCTGCTTAACTTCAAAAATAAAGATATCTAGACTTCAAATAGGTTTGCGATCTTTGGAACCATAGTACCGTCTGCATTGCGACTAATCCACATGAGACAATATCATTATATAACATTGGGGAAGCTTCCCTTTAATGCCGTTAAAGGCTCGAAGACGACTCTACATACGTTCAAAGTCGATTATGTGCACTCTAGTTGTCCGGTCAACAAAGTACTTCTTGTGAACAATAGCATGATGGGGGTAATCTATTTCAGACAGAGGCATACGTAACTTCCAAGCATATGTTTATATTATGGTACCCAGTACCACGCACTTCTCTATTACTACTAGGATAGACTTTTGTGATTGTTTCATTATCCACTGAAAATGTCCTTTCTTCATATTTCAGTTGCACATACCAAAACTCTGTGGTTTGCCAAGACATATGTGTAAGTATATATTGGGTACGTAAGAACCCACCCAGTCCTGTTTAAGTCATCCTTCTAGGTTATATTTAGGTTTTCGAACAAGATATTTATCTATTTTATATTACCTAGCACACCAAATGCCAAACACAACCTACAAAGCAATCTTTGGCATAATTCACTTAAGATTTCAGATTTGTTGTTTGAGGATGACTGGCTATGAGCCTACCGTATTAATCCTTTTCCAGTAGATTTCTGTGCTTTTCAATCCCCTTTTGAACGAGTTACTTGATAATGAGGACCCCACTTCTTCTGGGAGTCGGTTCCAGACGTTGGTTACTCAACTATGTTCGTTCTTTGCTTTTGCAGCCTCCTACTATGTCCTCTGAGGTATTCCGACCTAGTGGGAAGGAAAAGAGAAGATAGATCAGGTCCGGAGTCATTTCTTAGAATTCTGTATAACATGATTAGATCTTCCCTCTGTCTGCGATAGGATACAGTGAAGAGGTTCAGCTCCTCGAGTCTGTCTTCACAGGTGAGGCCAGCCATCGCAGGAACCATACGATTGGCTGTCCTCTTAACTCTTTCTAGAAGGTGTGAGTTACTTTTCAGACAAAGGTTTTCCGCCTGTGTACAGTTTCTTAGTTTAGGCCTAAGGATGTTTATGAGATGGTGAACATGTCACCACTTATTCTAGTAAACGTTCTACGTAATGCCCAGAGAGTCCTAAAACTCCGAGTTGCTACCAATCGACAGTGAGCCGTGGTTTTCAAGTCATAACTCACTGTAACTCCTAGGTCATTGTGGGTCAGCGCTGACGGTAAAGGAGTCCCGTTAATATCCTAGGTGTTGCTGCGTGTGCCGCAAGTGCATGCTCACACATTCACCTGCATTAATAGGCATCAGCCACTTCTCTAAGTAAACAAGCTGTTGAGGTCCACCTGAAGCACATGTATATCCTCATCGTTACTAATTTCCCGCCACATTTTTACATCATCAGTATAGACAGCCATAGATTTCGTGATATTTAGCAGCTCGTTTACCTATAAGAGAAATAGCAGGGGTCCAGGACTGTGCCTTGCGGCACTCCACTCTGTCGATTTTCAAGAGGAAAGTTGAGAATTGATTCTAACTCTTTGTCTCCTACCAACAACAAAGTCTCTTATCCATCCGAGCAGACTGCCAGTGATTCCACAACCTTCCAGTTTCCCGAGCAACCTGGAATGAGGTACTTCGTCGAACGCCTTATTAAAGTCTATGAAAATGACATCTGCAGGTATCCTATCATCTTAAGCCCTAACCCAACTTTTTCTGACTGTAAGGAGGTCCGTCAAGCAACAGAAATGTCTACGAAAACCGTTCTGTGAACGAGACAATAGTGTTGCTCTCTCTAGGTGGACTGTGATGGCTTTTTTGACTACTCTTTCTAGGATTTTCACTACAGTACTAGTCAAACTTATCGGTTTGTAATATGATGGGTGCTGCCCGAAACCTGCCTTGTGAATAGGTATTCCTATGGCATCCTTCCAGTCATAGGAGAGTGTGCCTTCACTGAGAAACAGTCTAAATATAGTAGTCAATGGGCCGGCTACATAGAGTGCAAGCTCTCTAAGCAGCCTTGGATGCAGCTCATCCGGTCCCGTTGATTTTTCTACGTCGAGATTACTTAATATCCGAAATACATCATTGCGATTGATATCCACAGAGTTTGTTCTGTTGGATGTCAATACTTACAATGTTGGATAAGTGTCCACAGAAGATTGTGTGAAGACCTCAGCAAAATATCCAGCCATGGCTTCTGCTTTTTCCCTATCGTCCTCAATCAAGCAATCAGTTTCGGTTCCATCAATTAGGGCGGGTATACCACGACACATCTTATTTCTATAGTTCATACAGGAAAACAACCTCTTCGGGTATTGCAATGCGTCCTGGACAAGACGTGTTTCAAAGCATATTCGAGACCGACGGATAGCAGCGATACATTTATTGCGAGTTTCTTTGTAATGCTTCACCACCTCGGGTGTACCAAGGTGAGTGGCAAGACTCCAACACTTTATTTTACGTCGTAGCAAGATTCGAACTTCGTAGTTTATCCACGGAGGACAGTGTTTCCGTCCGTTCGGGACAGTCCATGGGATGAACGGTTGGGTCACTCGTGCATATAACTGTTTGAAGGAGCACCATGCACCTTCAGTTGAGGCTTCTGGATTGGCTGTTCAGTCCTCCGAAGAGGCTGCCAGGTTAATAGTTTCCATATTCGCTTTTCATATGTTGGGTCTAGCTGGGGTATCGGCCGGGTACAAGACGTCTGCTGTCAATCTGAAGATGGTCATAGAGTGGTCACTTTTACCAAGGGGTGCTAGGTGCCGCATGAAGCATACATCATCTGTATGTGAGAATACTAAGTCTAGAACTGATGGGGCATGCTGATGATCATATCTAATTGATGTCCTAATGTGCTGTATGAGGGCTAAAGAAACTGATGTTTCCACTAATCTTGGGTCAAAAGAATTACGTGGTGCTTTTGTTGTTAGTCAATCCCAGTCAAATGATGGTGCGTTGAAGTCTCTTACAACTAGACATCGACATTTATCTGTAAAGAGGGTCAGCTTATTCAGGAGGAAGTCTGCTGCTTCACATTCAGGGCTTCCATATATTACGATTACGTTGACATCTTGCCCTTTGCATTTCAGTCGGCAGCGCAGCATTTCACATGTACCACTTTACAGTTGTTACTCTCAACGTAAAGGATGACACCACCAACCCTGCGTGCTAACTTATCACTTTTAAAAGGGATGAATCCTCGCAAGTGTGTTTCACAGTCACTGATCCAAGAAGAGAACCAATTTTCTGAGATAGCATTCATGTCAAGACTTTCGTTGCTTATGGCACTACTAAGCCCAGTCCACTTGTTTAAGAGACTACGTACATTTGTGTACAAGACAATGAAACTACTTAAGTGATTTTCTATCCTATCCACAGAGGCTAGGGCATCATTTGTTGCCGAGACCTCACAAAACGAAAACCTACTATTTTCAGATCTCCATCTCCAGCTGCTAATCTGGATTTTAGTTCTGCTTCTCGTTTTTTGATTCGGACAACAAGAGCCAGATCCTTTCGCACAAACACTCTAGATCATTGAAGTCTGTGAGCATTCTCCAGAATCCGATTCCTCTCATTTGCTGACTTGAACACGACTTTAAGTACCCGAAACTTATTTCCAGTAATGACTATTGACAATTGATATGATTATGAGCAATAATTTATGCTCGAAACGTAATCAATTAAATAATACTGTATTACTGTGCGCTTTATATCAGATAGACAAATCTAATATGGAACTACATTCTACCACAGTGCCCATGTTTTTCACTTATGACTATCTCCTGTTTGACTACTTTATATATCTTGAGCACGGTTACTCCTCGCATGTTTTCTGGTAAAAGGTGGTTTATCAAACTTTGTACCTCGATAAGGCCATGTTCGAAACGTTTACGCGGTTCTGAGTCTCTACTTTCTTCCACTCTGTGGAGGATTACGGACCTGTCAGGGAGCTCTACTTTGTCTTTGCTATGTGGAGTGATGACAGCCGGCTCGGTGACCGTTATTGACTTCTTAGCATGCCATTTAGACTTAGTTAATTGCTATTTCTCAGAGTCGGGTATGCAATGTTCACTAAACCCCAGTCCAGTGACCTTGGAGCTGAGAGCCCCATAACGGACTTGCATCCCAGTCTGTTTAGTTCTTGTCAATGATTGGGTCGGCGAACTGGGCATGACCTGTAGTCTGCATAATTTCGTCGTTGGCAGAGAGCACCTCACCCCTGTTTCTTTCATCTGAACTAGACCCAATCTTACGACCAGCAGTTTTCAGACTGGGTTTGCCAGCTCTGGGGATGCGAGAACCAGAAGATACTCGCTTCACCCTGCTTGGCGTATTTTTTTTCCAAGTCGCTGCCAGCAAACATAGTAGGTAGTCCACGCGCCCGACTTACAGCTTCCCGTGGGATGTTCTTACAATTTTGCACACCAATTTGTGTCTCAATGGATGCTGTGTCGTTATCACTGCCACAGTTATCGGCTTTGACTTTCGACGACAGTTTTTAAGTTAACGTATTTAGAAGTGCTTTTGCTTCTTCTACCAGAGTGGGGATATCCGAGTAGCCCAACGTACAAAGCCAGACACTTCGTGCATTGCTGTAATTTTTATATGCTGAGGGTGTGAGGCTTGTGCAGTTATCGTGGAACGGTTCATGCAGCGTTAACAATTGTTAATGCTTACTATGTTAACATAGTAAACAGGCGTTTCGAGAGCCTTGGATCCAAGGCTCTTGAGATAATTTATCGATTAATCATCTCCAACCTTATTGGCTATCCTCATGGTTTTTCGTTTTTAAACTTAGTTTCATCTATGGTCCTAACTCAGTAATACCGTAAAACTCATGAACACGATTAATAGATTTAATTTTATACCCCAGTTTATGACTCGTTCATTCCATGCCATAAAATGTGGCAGACCTACCAAAGATAACCAGCTGGAAAACCTATTGCGAAAAGGCTTAGCTGTCCCGCTGTAACGACTATCTGCCGACAGGATTTAGTCTAGACTGTAGGTAGATGGCACATTGTTGCAGGGGAGAGCGTGTGAGTCAAGTGGTGAGAATCTGGAACACAAAAGAGGAAGAGAGAAATGTGAGCCAAAGACCCAGCAAGTACATAGAATGTACTTACATTGAATAATAAACGATAACTAAAAAACGGAACCAGGCCGCTAGTCACCGGATACGATTCTAACCTCCAAAATATGATATCCAACTTTGTGCGAGGAACATTAAGCGTTAACTCTCATTGTTCTGATTGGTCAGTATGATGAAACCCCTAGAAAATCCAAAGTTGTTACACCGCACTTCAATTAGAGACATATCATTGCTCAATATCCAATACCTCTGAAGGGAAGATTGTAGGACAACAGTTTCTAAATTTTCTCCTCTGGTTTTTGGAAACTTAAGGCTTTTGTTTTATTTCGGTCACTCAAAAAGAGGAGGATCCATCTCTGCTTTATAACATGGGCCTTTCGAAGATATGTAGTGTGTAGATGAGTACGTAAAGAAATTTAGGAATTGTTCGTATGTGAACTTAACAAACGCGAGTGCTTGTCCTCAATCATCCATACTTATGATATACCCGCGAACGCATGGCCAAGGAAGAAGACGATAGTGTAGTCAGATGCGAACAGTATGTTTGACAGGTAGTGGCGAAATATCGACGCTTTCCGAATAGCTAGCTAGAGGGTCAAGGTGGTAGTTTGCGTAGGTTCTTGACCGTCTGATTTCAGCCTGGCTAGTTCGATAGGACTGCGGAAGTCATTAACTGTATGTTTCGTCGATCTGTGCGCTATTGACTTTGGGGAATTATTTGCCGCTGCAGAAGTTATGGAATTGCTGGGAAGATCGATCAGTATACGATCACCTCCTGTCCACATGGCAGCATCAAGATATGGGGCTCATTGTTAACCAGACAGTGAGTAAACCGAAACATAAGCTAATTATGTGTGATGAAGTAGGGGAGAAGCGTGTATTTACCTGCAGCAAGATTCAGCTGTGGGTCAAATCTTAGGAGAAGTTAAGGTAATGATACGTAGGTGTTGTGTTTGCTCACTGAAGTCAAAAACTGTAGGCTTAGGTATACAGCCGACCAGAAATACCGATGTCTTCAATCTAAAACCTTTAGAATGTCCACATGGTTGCGACCATTGCTTCCTCACACTTTGCAGCATTGTTTAAAGAGCGCAAACTTAGTGAATAGCTGCCGGCTATGACCCCCGTGTCAGCTCTTCGGTGAGCATGAATGTCTCCTCTGGGTTGATAACGATTTTTGTTCCGATGATTGCCTCGATAGAGATTGCGTAAGGCCTGTCCGTTTGAAAAGACCTCCGCTTTCGAGATTAAAAGCTGCTTAAAATGCGATTGCATACATCTTATGAAGTATTGACTATATTTATTCCTGAATGTACCGGCACACCTAGTCTACTGGTTCACTAGCCTACCTACCGGCCCTAAGCCCAGAAAAGGAGGAAAGGTTGGGCATGCGGCTAGCAACCCCACCCAGGAAAATCAATCCAGTCGTTGAAGAGACTTCCAAGCACGGACAAAATATAGAAATAAAAATAAACTTATTCTTCGCCGGAATCGGGGAGGCGAAGTGGTGACGGTTCGTGAAAGCATCCGAGAAGTCGATTGGTCAAGGAAACCAAAAGTGAGCTCACGGGGAGGAATGTCCGCACAATGTTTGAAGCCATCTGGCAAGGCTGCCCAGATTGCAAAAGAAATAGGAAGATAGGTATGGAAGTGATAGGAATCTGCAAGAACAGATGTAATGGAAGTAAACTTTACAGACAATTAACTGGAGGGTCAATAATCTAATCCACTCTGATTACGCAGACGGCAACCACGGGAACGCTGAGGGGTGTCTATTATCAAGTCACCAAGAGCATCCGGAGGCTCTCATACAGTGGGAACCAATGTCCTCCAGCATCACAACAGCAGGATTCAAACCAAAAGGAAAGAAAGCTACAGCCACATAATGCTACGCATCTATAAATAATGCGGATCAGGAGAAAAAGGAGGATTTCCATGGACAACTGCAGTCAGTAGTGGACAAGACCCCACCCCAGATGGATACATCAAAATCCTAATGGGGGCATGAATGCCAAACTGGGAGCAGACAACATACGATGAGAACTCACCAAGGGTCTAGAGGCACTCCGTGAAATGAATGAGAATGGAGGACTGTTTGCAGATTTCTGCGCATTCAATGATTTGGTAATTGGGGGTGGTGTGTAAAAACACAAGGATTTCCGCAAAGCGAGAGACATGAATTTTAACAGATGGACACACTAAAAATCGGATCGACTTTATCTCAATCTGAAGAAAGTGGTCAAGAAGGGGAGCAGACGTAGGTTTACACAGTTCACTGTCCAGTGCAGAAAAACCTACCTTTAAAATCAAGTTGAAAGACATCAAAGAAACTGGCTATAGACCGCAGTTGAGGTTGAACGCCCAGAACAGAAGCTGAAAGACGAAATCACAAAGGACATCCTCATGTCAGTCAGGTGTGAGGACAAAACGGGAGATATCGAGCAACATCCCTGAAGGAACCTGTGTGGAAGAACACCGGAACTCTTTGAAAGCTATGTAGAAAGAAACCTGCTTAACCTTGTTAGGAAGGAAGAAGAAAGAAAACAAGGAATGGATCTCGGCGGATACATGGAAGCTGATAGAGGAGGGGAAGATGGCGAAGCAGATAAACCAATGGAACGCAGTGCAGGAATGAACAAACGAAAGAGGAACTGAATACAACCTATAAAACACTACACCGGACAAAGAAGTGAAGAAGAGTGAGCGCAGGGACAAAAGACACTTCAAAGGGCTCGCCTGCAAGTGAAGCAGAACAGGCTGCTGGTATGAGAGACCTGACAACATTATACCAAATAACCAGGTTACTGTCTGGGAAGAGGCCAACCCAGATGAAACTAATGAGGGATAGTGGAAGAAACCTAGCTAGCAAAGAGAAGAAACAAAGGAAACGATGGGCTGGCCACTTCAAAAAGCCCTTGAATCGACCACTACCACTACCTGCAACTCGTCCAGAAATACCACCAGCAACCGCAGACTTACCAGCGGACACAAGCCCTCCAACAAAAGCAGAAGTTAAATCCTGGTCGCCGTGTCATAAGGTTGTTGAAATCCTGGAAAACGGCAGGGCCAGATGGAATTCCTCCAGAAGTACTGAGAACAAGCACAGAGATATCAGCGGACATGCTCACACCACCACTGCAAAAGGTTTGGAGGGAAGAAAGGGTACCTACAAATTAGAAGAAGGGCTACCCTGTCAAACTCCCAAAGGAAGAAGACCTAAGTCTTTGCAAGGGTTGGCGAGGAATGCTGCTGCTGTCCACCCTAAGCGAAATATTATGCCGCATCATCCTGGAGAGACTGAAGAGTGCGCTGGCTTCAAACATACGACCGCAACAGGCTGGCTGGATCCAGGGAGGACAAGTAATGTGCGGATGATTTTGCACCGATGTGCATTATCATAGAACAAAACATAGAATGGTAGTTCACTGTACCTGTACCCCAACTTCATCGACTTTGAAAACGCCTTGGATAGCCTCGACCGAGAGGTAATTTGGCAGCTACTTCAACACTACGGTTATAGTGCCACAAACCTTTATCAACCTCATTCAACAGCTGTATGAGGATGCCACATACCAAGTTATTCACAATGTTGAGCTCAGTGATGCCTTTGAAGTGAAGGCAGGAGTAAGACAAGGTTGACGCCTACTATCGCTGAAGATCCTCCTGATTGTGGTAGACTGGATCATGCAACAAACCGTGGGGATCGAGAGGATGGGCATGCGCTGTTTGACCGACGAAAGACTCCAGAAGATTTGGACTTTGCCGATTTATGTCTAATGTCTTGTGGCACAAACTTGAAGATCTACAGACAAAACCAACAAGCTGACAGAAGAGGTGGTCAGCGAAGATGGGGCTTCCTTCAGGTGAATGCAGAGAGGGCGGAGGTGATGAAGATACCCAGCCAACAACAGCAAACACCAATCACCATCAACGGAAGGAATCTGAGAGAAGTTCTCTCTTTCACCTACCTGCCAAAACAGGCAGCATCGCCTCAACTACGGATGGCACAGATGAGGACGTCAAAGTCAGGATCGAAAAGGCAGCAATGCAGACCCCTATTCGCCCGAAATCAGTGTGGAGATCTACTGCACTCGGCATAAACAACAAGATCCGGATTTTCAACACCCAGCCAGTCAATTCAGTGCTTCCATGTGGTTCAGAGAGTTGGCTCGTCACGGAAAACATTTCCAACAAACCATAGGCAGCTTCCGCCCACGCTCACTCCGTACTGAAGATTAGATCAAGGGGTCAGGAAGAATAAGCAGGGGGTAACTCTGGCAACAAATCAACCAACCAACAACCCATCGCCCAACGACTATGCACCGGAAGAAAGTGGCGATGGATTAGGCATAAAGTGAGAAGACCGACTAGGGACACCCCGCACCAGACCAGGCCGTCGAGTAGAACCCAGATGGGAAACGGCGAGTTTGGTGTCTGAGGTGGGGGTGACATGGAGGAGATGATGTGAGGAAGAAATGAAGGGTGGTGGGCAGTGGTGGAACCCGGTTGAGTCGACCGAAGAGAAGAGGGTGAAATGGCGATGTGCTGTTGTAGCCCTATGTTCCACTAGGAACCCAAGGGACAAATAAATAAATAGTGCATGCGAGGACCATTTTTACGGGTATCAGTAAGTTACCACACAAATTACATGTTTCTTTATGGTAGTTGATCTCATTCCTCACCTATTCTGTCACTGGGGGATAAGTCCCGCATGTCTGTGTGGTGGACCATCCCAGCGGAATAAGTGAGCGAGAATTTGCGAGCTGAACCAGTGGACGTACTGCCTTTGCATTAACAAAGTTACCGGGGTTTGTATCCCTACACTGTATGCATTACCTGGAGAAAAAGCTTAAAGTTAATCCTTCCACCTTAACACTTCTCACTTTTGCTTAGGAGATGATGGTGATGAGAGGCTTACGAGGAATATACCCAAGCTGATTATTTATTGCACTACACTGATGATTCCAGAACTGTATAATTCATGTATGCTCACACCATTTCACATCAAAGACCCCGTCTTTTGTGGGGAGAGTTTGGCAGGAGCTGTGATTTGTATGCAATTCGTCCAACTGGTAAAAGATGTATCACGATCTGTTTAGGCAAACCGAAAGCTACAACTCAACACTACGGCCGAAATTCAAAACAGCTGAGTACCTTTTTCTGTAGAGCAAACATCAGCTGTCAGTGGGATTTACTGAAAGCCTTTCTCAACTTAGACGTCTCTTCAGTTAACTTCTCATTCCATCCTGCTTCCCACCCTGTTTGGACGCCCCCAACCTTGGGAGAGAAAAGCAGCACAATGGTATCGTGGGCATCTAAGCGACGGCTTTTACCTGCTGCAGCTGCACTCTAGTTAGGAGTGTCCACATTTACTCAATCCACATTCCACATATTGAGATAAAAACCCTTCCGAAGCCTCCGAATTATTTATGTTGATGCTCTTTTTATATTGCTTCCGCCAGTGAATGAGGTGTATCCAGGCAAGTGTTCTTTGTCAATGGCCATTCTTAAATGTCGAAACTACGGCAACCTCATCTTTTTCATCTACGCTACCGCTGCTTCTGAAGGCTACTCTAAACTGCTGGTCACCTTGAAGTATGGTCAGTTCAGCTGTGAAAGTTACTTGTATAGACGAAATAAGTGCGGTGAATTGTTTTTTCAAAGTGAGCAGGTGTGCAGCTGCTACCATCTGATGAACAAGACTTACCATTATCCTGCGGGCATTTTTACCCAAACTCCCGTTTCTGCAGTCACTAAACCCTCATTCCTGCAGAACCACTGAATCCGTGGATCAGCATAAACTATGTTGTACCTGCTTTGTTTCATATAATCCTCCCCATTCGCTTCAGTTGAGGCTAATTTTCCGGCCATATACTTCCAACTCACCAAACTATTTCACACCATGACAGCTATGGTAGACTGAGTTGTTGTTCATAGACAACCGTCTGTTAAGTGAGGACTCACTTAGATGGTGCCCATGGAAATAGAGTGAAATTGTGTGGTTCACGCAGCAAAGAAACATTATGTGCAATAAAATGATGCGGCTATCAGGGCTTAACATCATAAAGGGAGCTTGGAACTGGCTGTTTGGTATATCTTAGTGGTGGCCAATGTATTCCACTTTTGTCTGCTGGACATCACTTTCAGATTATTGCAACTCAAAATTATACACACGTTACACCACTCAACTTATTTGTAAGTCCACGTGAAATTCATGCTGCTGACTTGATCTCATGTGACATTTCGGTATGTACTTACGTACTGTTCTGATTACCTAGCTAGAGTGCTTGTAAGATTGTCCTCCTCGAGTTTTCTGAATACCTCCCTATTCGCTCCTCAACTGATGCATGTCAGCATACTTGTATCAAGCGTTTCGGACGGAATATCAACTTGATTTTCACAAATCCCTCCGGAATTTCAAACCACCTTTTGTCCGTTCAACAGATTTCATCGCAGTTATGCCATCGCTTACCCACACAGGTCTGATACTATGGAACAAATCATCGGGTGAAAGGACCACGACACCCCTAAACTTAAGAATATAAGAATGCGAACAAATGGTTGAAAATGTGGTTCAGATCCCATGGTGAACCTCAGGTTATACCTGAACTTTCTTTCTGGCTAAAATTAATTAACGAAGTATATCTACCACATTTTGTCCTGTTGTTTCAGGATTGTCAACGGGAAGTGAGAACCGAGCTGCCGATCTCGCTTCCAGTCCATGACCTCCATTCTGGGTTCCTGAAGCCCTACAACACAGCCATACCCTCTTGAAACAATGTCCACCAAGATCAAACGTCATTTCGGGTGCATGACCTCAAGTGAGAGCAGCCTTTCCACCGGTAGATGGAAGATCAAAATTGGTAATAAACTTTTCATGACGCTCACATTTTCACAGAATCTTTCTAGTGAAGGCCTATCACTTGTTGGCTTGCATTTCTTTTTATTTGTTAAGTATTACTGTAGACAAAGGGGGATCAGTTCTGCAAAATTTGTGTGAGCCACGCGGTTACTGTCACATGAGGTATAAGTTGTTATCATTCCTCAGTGGTTCCCAGTGAGGTCCTGTTATTTGGTTGGCACCCACGTTTTTTGTTGGTGCTTATGGAATGTAGCAGTAAGATTTTCGGGTTTGTTTCACGATCTTCTCACTGAATTAGCTAAGTAGTGGTACCTGTGACTTCCTGCCCTGCTGTCGGGTAGAACATATGCTTTTCGTAGCTAAAATATCAAATGACCAACACCAACACCGGGCTGGATTTTCATCACGTATCAGTCAAACCACTGCACGACGACTGCATATGGTTCATGCCAAGTGAGAGCGTGTTATTCCTGGTATTCTGCTAGGGGTAATAACTAAGCGATGGCCAGTGCCTTTCTGTGGTCAGAGACTCATGGTCTTGGGCCATGGTTCTCTGGATAAGATATCCTTCGTGTATATAAATAGTTCACCCTGCCGCTGCGAGTGAAGGCACTCGGTTCATCATGGAGCGGTTTTTCTTCATGCCGAGCTTGATCACTTTGCGATAACCGTGACCGGAGAGGGGTTGACTAACTTCAGTATTCCAATAATGATTTCCAATTTTTCGTATCTTGGGTCATTGTTAGTGTATGTAATTTACGTAGCTATGATGCACTTGGAGTTTTATTCACCAAACTGTTTGCTCGTGATGATAACAGACTAAGAAACCCTGACGGCTGACTTCCATCTGCTTTTCTGGTAGACCCTCATACGCCCAAAAGGATCAAACGGTCCCACCTATTCCGTTTTCCCTGCTACAACAGGCTGTAAGCGCATCGGTGCGCGCTGTAAGCGAATGAAGGCCTGTGGCCGACAACTTATGAGCTAGGATGCTCTGAAAATTTCCTAGTTCTGGCATCTTTGAAGCACCGCAGGTCAATGGGTTTTCGATCCAAATGTCGGTCGCTAACCATCCCCACTGCTTAACAATAATAATAATATTTATTCATGAATATACAGGCACACACCATTTTTACGGGTATGAGTAAGTTGATGTGCAAACTACATTCCTCTTCATGGAAGGTAATCTCAATCCCCCCCTATTGTCACTGGAAGATATGTACTGCGTGTTCACATAATGGAACATCCCAACAGAATAAGTGTGCAGAAAATTTACAAGTTGAACAAGTGGGAGTATTGTCTTCTCATTAACAAAAAAGACCAGATTTGTATTCATACACTACGGGGTATTACCTGGAGAAAAGCAAAGCTTGAGGCTAATACTTCCATTTTAGCAGTTTGTACTTTCTGCTTGAGATAGTGATGAAAAGTTTATGAATTGTTTACATATTGTACTTCATTGACGATTCCAGGACTGTATAGTTCGTGCACGTTAACACCATTCCGCAACGAAAATTCATAATCTTGATGAATGTTATGACTGAAAGCCAAATGTCTTCACTTTTCCAACTCCAGCACCCAGAAGCAACAGACTTGTTTGAATGCACCAAATAAGCTTCTAGAACATCTTGTCCGCAGTTTTCACGGGTCGTGACAGCCTTGCAGTTGGTAAGTGTTGGACTTTGCTGGTCACTTTTATGATGAGTAAGTCCTAGATTTTGATAATTATGAAGTTGTAGTCCAGTGAACGTTTTTTATTTCTGCTTGTTGCAGTTAGGTATTCTGAACGTGGTAAAGCTGGTTACCCTCCATGAAGGGTAGTTTCAGCCATGGTCTGTTCCTTAAGTAATTAATTCTCGGTGGCAACAAAGCCAACGTTTAGAACTGAATTATTTTTCTACAAAGAGAAAAAACAGACAAAGCAGCAGGCGGAGAAAGCAAGAATTTCAACAAGGAGAGTGTTTTCTATGTTCATGCTCCTCCCCACCTAATTCCCCTTGCTATGGTTTTCATTGTTTATCCTTTTTCTATAGAGTATTCAAAAAATATAAATTTCATGCTGTCATGTGATGTAGGATTTCTGTTTTTGATTACTGTGTTGGGTGGGGCACAATATGCCGTTAGTCTGAGGTGGTAACTTATGGAAGTCTCCTCAACGCTTCGTATGAAAGGTCATTGTAGGTGTGGTGGCTCTCATTATACATTAAGAGAGCCGAGTATACGAAGTGTCGTGAAAGAGACTGTTGACGTGTTCGATAAGCCGTAGAAGTCACTAGATGACAAGAAGTCAGCCAGTAACTGACCGAATTGAGAGGTTGATTTGAAGCCCTCACTCCAGCTGGAAGTCTGTTCTACAACTGAGAGAATTTGACAACAAAGAAGTTCGCGCACAAACAGGACTTGACCGACTTCATTTTGACGCTATGGGCGTGGTTGCACAGATCGTAACAACTGTTGTGTTCGAACTGAAACTCACCACTGGCCGTAAATGTGTGTTTATGTAACACACTAAAGAAGAGTGTCAGGTTAATTTTGGGTCGTCTCATGCAAAGTGCTTCTAAACTTAGTGTTCTGCATCTGGTGTTGTAGTCCTGTTTGCAATCATGTCCTAACAATCTAGCTGTGAAATACCCTTGGACACCCTCTATTTTATGTTTGTCTATTGTGTGGGTACCACTCAGTATAAATAGACAGTATTCTAACAGTGGACGTACGCAAGTTTTGCGGAGTAGCAACTTGACTTCTTTGAAGTGGAAGTTACGAACCATGCAACCCATCAGGGTCCTAGATTTGCGAGTCTTTGATGCTACCTGTTCATAAAATGTGAGGTCCTTTGAATATCTTAGTCCAAGGTCATGCACACTTTTAAGAACAGGAAGTTTCATAGACTGAAGATGTAGTTGGACATCCACCGATGGAGCACCAGAACATATCCAGCCACACTCGCCTATATTGAACTGAAGTTTCCAAGCAGCAGACCATGCGGATATTATATCGAGCTCCTTTCGTATCAGTGCTTGGGAGTGGGATAAATTATCACAGTTGAAGGCGTATGCAACTTTTAGGCCATCATCAAACAAGAATGGTTTACCGTATGTAAAGCAGCTGCAGGTGTCATTGACGCATAAAGTAAAGAGAAGGGGACCTAATACGCTGTCTCGAACAACACCAGAGGTGGTTGGCCTGGGTTTTGAAGTGTGCGAATCTACCTTCACCACTCGAATGCGATTACTGGGGAAAGACTTAATCCATCCCGATAGTGGATAGTCAATCCCCATAGTCATCAACTTACTTATTAACAGCAAGTGATCGACTGTGTCGAATGCCTTAGAAACGTCTAGATAGAGTACAAGGACTAATTGGTGTCGGTCGCGCGTAGTGGTTATGAAGTTAAAGAAGTCAAGATGGCAAGTTATACAGGACCTCGATTTTGGGAACCCATGTTGACTCGATGTGATGATGTTGCCACTAAGCATGTGCTGAAGAATGCTCTCTTCAATAACTTTCTCCATAATTCTAGAAACTGCAGGCGTAAAATTTATTGGTCTGTAGTTACTGGCTAGTGTTTTTGAACCAGATTTACATCTAGGGAGAATAAATTATGTTTTCCATATATCAGGGTATGTGAAAGATTCCAGAGAGAGAGAAGGTATTTTAAGTAATAATAATGGAATATCAGGGCCACCAAATTTAAAGAAATGTGATGACATTCCGTCTATTGGAGCTGCTGGGGCATTTTAGCGTCCTAATGGCTTGGTGAATATTGGAGTATGTAAATTCAACCGTATCTATTGCCTTTAGTCGAGGAGAAGAATGGCTCTTAGAAGTGCAGACCGCACTAGTGTCAC